TTATTTAATATATATGGATACAATCAACAATAACAATTGTTATTTTTATTTTTAAAAACCGCATTTTGGATGCCTTTGTGGAAATAATACTGTAAATTTGTAATTATTCTATTGNCCCCCCCCAACCAACTGTCATCTTAACAGTCACCTCAATGGTATATCAAAGTGGCAATGATGTATTACGTACGTACTATAAAAGATGTAGAGAGGTCACGGGATATAGGTGCAGTGAATCCCTATTGGAAGCACTGTCTGAAATTTTACTTCACGGGGGCTTACCCTGAGTGTGAGAGAGAACTAGCAGGTGCTATTGGCCCGTGATTGGGCAAGCAGGCGCTAGCCCTCGAGATGGGCAACGTCAATTTACCTGGTCAATTTATTTAATATATATGGATACAATCAACAATAACAATTGTTATTTTTATTTTTAAAAACCGCATTTTGGATGCCTTTGTGGAAATAATACTGTAAATTTGTAATTATTCTATTGGTATTTCTTCTGTCTTTACTCCACACCTCGTGAATGCTGCAACCTCGGCCTAGGCCTATTGGTTGGCCTTATGGGGAAATCCGGCCCTGTGGATCACCTTAGTATTTTCATACGTTATTTTTTATTCAAAAAAAAATAATTTATTTTAAATTTTCTCTTTTAACTCTTTAAATTTTCAGTGATCATTTTAACAAACAAAAAAAAAAAGACTTTATCTTAGCATAAAACTAAAACGGTCAAAGAATCTCTTGAATGTAGTGAAACTATTACACTTACACCGCACCGTTCCCAACCCTGTTTTCTTAAGATCATTACAGAACCTTCACCACCAGCATCCCCCTTCCCCCCCCCCCCCCCCCCCCCCCCCCCCCACCCCCCCCCCAAATGTAGTGAAACTATTACACTTACCCCGCCCCGTTCCCAACCCTGTTTTCTTAAGATCATTACAGAACCTCCCCCCCCAGCCCCCCCCCTACCCCGCCCCCCCCCCCCCCCCCCCTAACCCCCCCCCCCCCAAAAAATCCCCATATTTGGAAAGCTTCTTATTTAAGTCGGTTTCAACGGTGTGACAGAAGGTGTATTCACGACGCACAGGATACAGAATACCCTCTCACTGATTCTCTGTGGAACAAATTCGTTTTTTTGTTTTTTTAAATAGAAAAAATGGATCCCTAAAAAAAAAGAGGAAAGAATAAACGTAACAGAGAGTCCTGCCGCAGAGCCAATGGTTACAACAGGTTAGTATCATGTCATAGGACAGGGATTAAAACAGGTTAGTGTCATGTCATAGGACAGGGATTAAAGCAGGTTAGTATCATGTCATAGGACAAAGATTACAACAGGATAGTATCATGTCATCTGAACAGGGATTATAACAGGTTGGTATCATGTCATGGTACAGGGATTCTAACAGATTAGCGTCACGTCAAAATGGCAAGGATCTTAAACGATGAGTGTTACGTCATAAAAACGAGGATGATATTTTTAAAAACGAACATCGTGACTGAAAATGGACAAATGATTATTTTTAATAATTGTTTTTTTCAATGCATGTCTTTTTCTACCGAGTATATTGTTATAATATTCAGTTATAAAACGTATGTGAATTTCTTCTTCCAATGAACCAGCGAGTCCTCCAAGCGAATAATCGACACAGCCGATACGTCTGGAGTGATTGAGATGTACAAAGAACTGAGGATTATATTTTAGCTCACTTGTTTGGGTGTCAAAAAAAAAATGAATTTGAAAACACTGTTGACCCTGATGGTCGTGTTTTGCAATGAGCTGAAGTACTCTCGTGGTATCCACCGTTTTAATTTCAAGTCCAATCTCATATGGAAAGTCAGCACGGAGTCAACCGTAGATGGTCGTTCATTCAGTACAGAATCAACCGTGGATGGTCGTTCAGTCAGTACAGAATCAACCGTGGGTGGTCGTTCAGTCAGTTCAGAATCAACCGTGGGTGGTCGTTCAGTCAGTACAGAATCAACCGTGGGTGGTCGTTCAGTCAGTGCAGAATCAACCGTGGGTGGTCGTTCAGTCAGTGCAGAATCAACCGTGGGTGGTCGTTCAGTCAGTACAGAATCAACCGTGGGTGGTCGTTCAGTCAGTTCAGAATCAACCGTAGGTGATCGTTCAGTCAGTACAGAATCAACCGTGGTTGGTCGTTCAGTCAGTACAGAATCAACCGTGGGTGGTCGCTCAGTCAGTGCAGAATCAACCAAAGATGGTCGATCGGAAGTCAAGAATACGACAACCCCAAGGCCGCCTGATGCAGATAAACAACACTACTACTACCCCTCAGACTTGGACAGATCTAAACCGACTCCAGTCAGTGGTAAGTCCGACAGCTGCCTTTGTTACACGAAAGCACTTTATTTATAGGCAGTCTTGTGTTGTTGTTTCCCCCCCCCCTTTTCTTTAATTTGAAATTGCTGACTATTAACACTAGTGAGCCACTCGTCGTAATCAGTTTCTATTAATTGTTTAAATTATTTTTTTTCCCCAAAGCTGACTCCCCCAAGCTATGAAAAATGGCGAAAAGCTGTAAACGATTTTCTTTTTAAAAAATCACACTTTCGTTATTCTTACACTTACACCATAAATACTAGCGTAATCCTGTGATGGACTAGCGTACAGTGACATCCATACACAGACCCATGATGAGTCATTGTGTGAAAATACCATTTCGGGGGATTTTCGTTTGTTTGTTTTCAACTGCCGCCCGCCACGCTTCAGATTTCGATACAGTTTTGCTGTCTCTCTCCCGACACGCTGTCCAGTGTTATGGGATAGAATCTTTTTCAAAGACGTGGTGGTCAGTTCTTTTGTTCTGATTCTTTTTTTATTTTTTTTTAAATTTTTGTCGACTTAGGGGCTATCCATGTAGTACGAAAGAACCAGTGGCGTAGAAACGGAGGGCAGGGGGGAGGGAGTGGTCGGCCCCTGCCGGCACTTTTGTTCCCCTTATATTAAGGGGTGACATTTCCGGGCGCTTGCAAAGTTGTATTTTTATTTTTTTTTGTTTGGGGCGGCACAAAAGCTTAACCCGCCCAGGGTAGCAATAAACCTAGTTACACCACTGGTCAGCTCTGAATGTGGAGGGAGGGGCGGGTTTGTCAACTTTGGGATATTTTGCGCACTCCCCAGGGTACCGCGGAAAATACTGGTCGTCACCAATAAGAGATTGTCGAGAACCCCCCCCCTCCCCCCATAGACTTGTTTACTGTGACGTGATAGTTGTTTTTTTTTAAATGTATTTTAAGTTGAGAAAAAAGCTCGGGTAGAGGGGAGGGGCTCTTCTTTTGTAACATGAGGATGGGGTGCTCAACAAAGTACGCTTGTAACATTAGGATGGGGTGCTCAACAAAGTACGCTTGTAACATTAGGATGGGGTGCTCAACAAAGTACGCTTGTAACATTAGGATGGGGTGCTCAACAAAGTACGCTTGTAACATGGGAAGGGTGTTCTAAATTCACCTTTTCATTTGTCCACGTACTATATGGATAGTCGCTATCAGTTTTAGGTCCCATAGGTTTAGCCGTCATGCACTTTACTTTTATTCAGGATATACAGGTGTACATACTTTTTTTGAAAGGTAAGAAAGACAACGGACTCGGACATCAATGGGATGAAACACTTACGTACCAAAATATTCGGAGCAGATCTGTCCAGGAGAAAACCAACTCACAGGCTAATGATACGAATGTCAACAATTTCTCAATCTTCAACAATTTAATCTGCGACATAACCGTCAATGGATCTGATACTCTAGTCGACTGCAGGTACCGGGCTCTTAAGGACAATGATATCAACTCCCACCTGTTTCCGCGAAACACGACAGTTCTCTATTTGGATCACAATGAGCTGAAACGGATACGAAACAATACTCTCGAACACTTGACGTCACTGCGTTATCTGAGCATATCTAACAATCAGATTAAGAGCATTCAGCCCGATGCATTTCGGGGACTTCGCAATTTGAGATACCTGGGACTGGAAGAGAATGATCTAGACCAAACATCTGAGAGTTTCCCAGAAAATATCTTCACGCCACTAGAAAACCTCGAAGAGTTACGATTGATGCAGTCCAAGCCGTATGAAACAAAAAGCTATCCCGATCAATTCCTTGGTGCTCTTCGGAGACTTCAAACATTAACTATCGATACCGTGGGGGACACGCTTAATTTCGGAAATGAATTCACCAACTTAACCAGGTTACGTTCATTGACAATCACGGGAAGTGTTCGTTACATCAATGCCAACAGCTTTGAGAATGTAGCCGCAATTAAAGAACTCAATGTGTTTTACTTGAGCCAAATTATCCACGTTAGCATAAAAGCATTTCAACCGTTGGTAAATCTGGAGTCTTTGACTCTAAGTTACATGGAAATCGGTCTTAACAACACGCTGTCGCTTCTTCACCCGTTCGTGGGTAGAAATATGACAAAGATTTTACTGGATAAAATAGGTTTAAGCGTCAGCCAGCAGGACAAAACTATAATCTCCCACGACGGAAGCCTCACTGCACACAACACCAAACTTCTGATGGGCATCTGTGTCAAGAGCTTTACACTGAACGACAGCAACATTTATGTTATAGAAAGTTCGGCGTTTGAGAATTCTACTCTTTGGGACTCGTGTTTAGAGAGTATAGATCTATCGTACAATCCACTGACAGGGAGCTTTCTCGCATTTGCTCGTATTTTGAAATTTAAGAAGTTAATCTCGTATACCACCACGGATGTCTATCAAAACTGTGTCAATGCGGGGCAATTCAACAAGGAAAGTAATCATAGAAATCTTCTGCGAGTATCTCGAGATTCTCTTCTCCCGGACTTACTCATCTCAAAAGGACCTGGTGCACGTTCTAAGCTAGATTTCTTGAAATTCCTTTTGCATGATATGAAAGCGACACTAGACGACAGAGAAGATGAGAGCTACCATCATACAAGCAACGGCACGAGGGCCATAACAGATGCAGCTGAAAGCCGTCCTAATGCACACACTATGGCTACTGGGCCAGTGATTTCTGCTTACGTTTCAAAGTCTTTAAAAGAATTTCACGGAAAGCGATTCATCGCCTCAAGTCCACTAAATACTCATCTTCATATAGTAAATGGAGGAAATATAGAAATGGTTGACCTGTCAAACAGTGGATTCCACGAATTCACTGGCGTCATTGAGGGCTTAACTAATCTCAAAACATTACTCCTCTCCGGTAACGATTTGTCACTGATTTCCCAGAACTTCTTCGACACTTTATCTTCTCTTGAAACTTTGAAGATTGCAACTTGCAAGCTAGACAGGCATTTCATCGCCATGAAAAGCAAACGGTTGATCTCTGAGCTTGTTTGTCTGAAGAGCATGGATTTGTCTTACAACTACTTATATATTTTACCCAAAGATATATTTTACTACAATCCAAATCTGGAGGAGTTAATCCTGGCTGGCAATAACTTCAAAGAGATTCCGTTCGACTTGACCACTACGCCTAACCTTACACGACTGGACCTCCGTTACAATTCTCTAACATCCTTGGACGCCCAAACCACGCTTGAACTGGATGACCAAGTTCAGCGTCTGGGCAAGTTTCAAATTAAACTTGAAGGCAACGTGCTCTCGTGTGGTTGTGAAAGCATTGGGTTCCTACACTGGATGATGGTGACAAATGTTGAGCTCGATAACAACATGAACTTCACGTGCATCAACAGCGCCGGCGACCTGTCCGACACGGCGCAGTACACGGACCTTGTCGAACTGTGGAGATTATGCTGGGGGAAATCTTTCCTGGCCGCGGCGGTGATCATCTTATGCTTCATCGTCATTGGATTTCTGGCAGTTTTCCTCTTCGTCAAGAACAAAACTCTCATCTTGTCCACCCTGCTGCAGTTCATTTGGGGCTTCCAGCTTAAGAAGCGCTCCGATTACGCGACTGGCGTGTACATCGGCTACTCTGACAGTGACTACAACTTTCCTTGCCATGCTCTCAGGGTCTATTTAGAAAATACTCTACAACTGAGCACGTACCTCGAGCATCGTGACCTACTTCCGTCAGCCGACAAGGCCAGCGCCATAATCGAAGCGATTCATGCCTGTTGGCGCGTCGTTCTGGTGGTCAACGGGAGATTTTTAAACGGAGACGAGTGGGCGCTGTTCACCATGAAGTCGGCCATTCATTCTCAGAGCCCTTCCAACCCCGCGCGCCTGGTGGTCATCGTGGAGGACGCCGTCCACCGATCTCTTCCCAACGAGCTGTTGAGCGTGGTGTCAGAGGAGAATATTTTTGTGGTTACCAGGTGGACGCTGGGCACGGAATTGAAAGATTGGCTGAAGTTACGATTGTATTTTTGATCATGCAGTTAGAAACAAATGTGTGTGTTACACTGATTTTATCTTAAATTTTGAGCCTATTCTGAACTACCGTGACTTTCTGCTTAAAATTTTTAATCCTATTGAAAGAGCACTAGTTGTACAAAAAAAAAAATGAATTTATAAAAGGTTATTCTGATATTCCAACAATGTTTGCAAATTTTCAGGTATGCAGATCAAGAAATAGCTCACCAGATATTTTAGAACTCGCATTTAAATGTCCAAAAAATTCCACAATTAACACACTTTTCAAATTATTTTTTTCCATTTTTTTTTAAAATCAGCATTTGAATTTAGTGCCACCCACAGGTCTTTGAAGTTGTGAGGTGGGGAGAGTGGTCAGCTTATTACAATTACATTTTAAACAGGAGATATAAAACTCTGTGGTGCATTGACCTAGTTCAAAATTCAGCCAACGCAGATGACAGTTTCATAAGTCCTAATTAATGACTACGTGGTATATTTTTTTTCTCATCAGTATACTTTATTTATTACACCTTGTTTTACTCCTGAAAATATCAGCATGAACTATTTTTTTTTTCAAAATATTACCACGCTTAAATTTTTATGATAGTACGATAATCATAACTATTTTTAGTATAACTTTAAATATAGTTTTGTGCAAATGTATCAATTTTTTTACACTTAAATGGCGTAAATATTTCTATTTGTTTTAAGCCAAAAAGTTGGATTCGGACGGCTAATGTCGTCATCCAAACTTAGTCTGCATTGTACACGAAGTACATCATTTCTCCAGGCAAGCAAACAAATATTTCAAACGACACATTTCTAATAGGTTTGTGCTGATCATTGCTCTAACAATAATGAACAAAATGGGGGGGGGGGGGGGCAGCACACGTATTTCATTTTATTATGGGCTACAGAACCCCTTTGGCCGAACAATTCCCATCTTGATTAATCCTCCAAAAACATTTTAAACAACAGGCAAGCAAACAAATATTTCAAACGACACATTTCTAATAGGTTTGTGCTGATCATTGCTCTAACAATAATGAACAAAATGGGGGGGGGGGGCGCAGCACACGTATTTCATTTTATTATGGGCTACAGCACCCCTTTGGTCGAACAATTACTATCTTGATTAATGCTCCATAAACATTTTAAACAGGGGGCCCCGGCAAGCTGTCCCACAGACACTGTTCGGAGACGTACTAAAAACAGACATATGAAAAAGTACACTATATTAAAAAAAAAAAAAATTAATATTACAATACCGGTATTTAAAACAAAATGAACGTTGGCTTAGGAGATTATCGTATGCTGGGTTCCATTTTTCGTAATGAAACCTGGATTACCCTAGTGGGGCGGGTTAATGATGTCTTGTGGACTGTATATTTCTCCGACGGTAAGAGTTTGAGAACTCTCTGATCTAGACTTTAATTAATTAATTAATTTTTTTTTTTTTTTTTTTTTTTTTTTTTTTTTTTTTGTTTTTTTTTTTGTGTTTTTATTTTTTTTCTTTTTTTTTTTACTAAAATTTAGATACACCAATTTTAATTTGTGAATAACATTTACAAGACTAATACTTATTGCACATTGATAAATGCGTTGCACTCAAAGATGTTTGATTGGAGGTTTGCTTTCCTCTTTAAATGCACGTGCCATAAGGCAAACGGGTTACCGGAAACAAGTACCGAGACCAATTCGAAGAAATGTTGTATGAACGGATTGGTTCCTTATTAACTTCAGGATTTGAAAATAAATTGACACCAATCATACGCTTCTTATCTTACATGTGTTCATCTATTTTATTGTGGCGTTTTTTTTTAAAAAAAGGGCGGTGGGAGATTTCAACTTTGATTCGTTTACTCAGTAATTATAATGAGATTAGTAGCGGGTTTTGAAGATTTCCTCTACACTCCCATTGTCATCTTTTGTGTGGGGCGTCATTAGTTTGTTTACACAAGGGATGCTTTAAGACTTTCTCGTGCAGTGTTGACCCGGTGAACGGCTGGAAATAGAATGCTGAGTCAACAGAGCCGGGGTGATACTGTCGCTCAAATTGTCGTGGTTGACTGCGACTGCTTCCTGGTTGAGGGAATGGACGGGTGGGTGAGGTCAGATCCACTTTTTCTTCTTCTTTTTTTTTTTTTTAGCTGTATGCTTAGGTAAAGCATTAAGTCGCTTTAGCCACGATTTTTGTAAGAATTCGATGTCTTTAAAACAATAAATAATTTTACCGTTGTCAATAATTTAAAGATTCCAATTTTAATTCTAAAAATTTAAATGATAAAACAAAAATTTATTTTTTTTTAAAAAAGAGGATTTCTAACAAAGACGAGTTAAAATGCAATGAAAAGGTTGAAAAGTGTAACGTTTCGCTGTTGCACATGTTTACAACTTTCAAGTTATGTTTGTTCCGTTTAAACGTATTGACAGCCTGCAAAAAAATCCTTAAAATCCAAGAAAGCTAACGACACATTCGAAGGAGGTGACGGTCCCACTTTTTGTGTGTCTATAGTTTTGGTAGTTTTTTTTTGTTGTTGTTGTTGTTGTTTGGTTCTCATTAAGCATGCGTTGTTGTACGACAGGGCCGTGCGAAAAGTGGGGAGGAGGGCAGTGGGAAAGCATCGTTCGACACCCCCCCCCCAGGGTGATTGTGACTCGCATGTTGAGAACCGCTGGTCTAGGGAACACCCATTCGATATTTTTAGTATGATCACAAAGCAACAGCAGGAGGATGAGAAGGAAAATTTTCGCAATATTTTTATACCATTAGATTCATACATATGCTATTTATGGACTGTCAAAATGATCATTTTGCGAAATGTATGAATGAATATTGCGGACCATATCCAGAGACACCCAAGACACACACTTAAAGACACACATTCACAGACATACAAACAAACATATAGACTTTCCAGTATGCACAACCTCCTAAATCAACAGCCCTAACCCCTTCAGTGCTTACATACTAACAGCCCTAACCACTTCAGTGCTTACATACTAACAGTCCTATCCCCTTCAGTGCTTACATACTAACAGTTATCTCCCATTCCGTGCTTACATACTAACAGTTATATCCCCTTCAGTGCTTACATACTAACAGTCATATCCCCTTCAGTGCTTACATACTAACAGTTATATCCCCTTCAGTGCTTAAATACTAACAGTCCTATCCCCTTCAGTGCTTACATACTAACAGTCCTATCCCCTTCAGTGCTTACATACTAACAGTCCTATCCCCTTCAGTGCTTACATACTAACAGTCCTATCCCCTTCAGTGCTTACATACTAACAGTCGTATCCCCTTCAGTGCGTACATACTAACAACCGTCTCCCCTTTAGTGCTTACATACAAGCAACCCTAACTCTTTCAGTGCCTACATACTAACAGTCCTAACCCCTTCAGTGCTTACATACTAAACATATAGCCCCTTACCGTTTGGGCTACTGGTTTGTTCCCTTAACGTCCGTGTTGCAGGTAAGTTTCCTTTATTGACTTTGACATGAGATATTTAGTAAGCTTTCAATGCAGCGTCCCACAAGGGGATTTTTTTTACCCCTTTTGCTGGAGCGATGCTGGTCTAAATTTAGCTTCTGTGAATGTATTCGTTGTTGAAAGAAGAGATTTTCCCCACCCCAAACACCAACATTAGGTTGATTTTTAAAAAAAAAAAATCTTTTATGGAAACAATTTAAGTAGGTCATGCGGCAGTTTATTTTGTTGTTTTTTTTTTGGGTGGGGGTAATCCCGTCTGAGCAAGTTCCTTCCTAATCTATCTCACCGACGTCACACAGTTCAAAGTTTAAATGACATTGTACTACATCACAATTATGTGGATTTCTATTTCTTTTATACAAAATTATAATATATTTTAAAGGCTTTTAGTAAATCTAACAGACACGGTTTGTCCGAACAACTGAAAGATACCTTGTGTGCGCTAAAGATCCATTTTGGTTTTAACTGCAAAAAGAAAAGAGTACATTTAAATATGTGAATAATATATGTGCTGGGTGGCCGAATGGACTAAACTGAGCACATCTCAAGCTGGTGGTCTGGTGTTAAATTCCAGTCAAAAGCACAATCAAGTAAAAATATCACCAGCACCCCGGGTGGATGGGACCCGTTAACCTTGGATGGCAGCTCATCTAAGAGAAGAAATTCTGAATTCAAACCCGGAGATGGAGTCCCGTAGGCGGATAACCTTGGTACAATGAAACATTGCAGCACATAATGCGACGCCACGGGTGCCAAGCTGTGTCATCCACATGATGTTCCCTTGGGGTTATCCAGCGTCGTGGAGAGAGGCGTTCTGCTGTTGGGAACCAGCTTTTAATCCTAGAAGAATAATCCCAGGCCATGTGGATTTCGTCCTGCGGAGTCTTCACCATCGTCACATTGTGACGCACGGATGCCAGCAAACTAAATATAAATTACCTGTTTGACAATATAGACACAATAGGGATCACCTAAGTATTGTCAAAAGCCGTCATAACATTTTTTAAAATAAATTTGATACACAACAAAAAGTCGTTTTTTGGACTCACTAAATTTAAGCCATCAGATTTGTTTAGGAGGGCGTTACCCAGGCTCTTTGTTTTTTTGTTTTTTTTTAGGTTGGTTAACAATTAGACACGTTTTAGAACTCCACCAGGGACTTGCGCCAGATTCATCAATTACATGTTCTTATTATTTGACCATCAATAGTTATGTTATTCGGACAGGCAACGGGAAGGCTCGCGGACCACCATTTGAGAAACACTGGTCTAGAAATCATATTTAGACGAAATAGCCTCAAAGAATCGAGAGAATGATATTTGGTAAACAATCAATCACACCGTTACCTCGCTAGATATTCTCTGAGATCAATACGGTCTCAGCCAATGCGTTTTACAGCGTTTTAAAAAAAAAAAAAATGTCAGGCAGTTGAAGGGGTGCGAAGAGAGAGGGTGTGTCGTGTGTACAGGACACACTCCAATATCTCCTGATATCACGGAGGTAGTGCCTGTATTGCTAAATGGGATTAGAAAAGACCAGGCGTCATTTCATATTATAACAATCAATCACACCGTTACCTCGCTAGATATTCTCTGAGATCAATACGGTCTCAGCCAATGCGTTTTACAGCGTTTTAAAAAAAAAAAAATGTCAGGCAGTTGAAGGGGTGCGAAGAGAGAGGGTGTGTCGTGTGTACAGGACACACTCCAATATCTCCTGATATCACGGATGTAGTGCCTGTATTGCTAAATGGGATTAGAAAAGACCAGGCGTCATTTCATATTATACCACGGAGCAGAGCAGTTTAGCGTCATGTCATACGCAAAAGGATAATAGAGAAAAAATAAGCTTCCTGTTAGTGGATTTATGATCAGTTTGTTTTTATGCCTGTGTTGTTTGTTTTTTTTATTTCTTTTCATTCAATATTGTATTCTATTCTGAAGCGTGCTGTAAGCACTTACTCCAATTCTCCACTGAGTCCGCGTCAATAATCGCCGCGGCAAATACGCCTGTTGCGTTAAATCGTACCAAAAAAAAAAAAAAAAAAAAACTGATAAAAATCTTGACTGCACATCCATCATGAATTTAATAACAATACTGACCTCGCTGTTTGTGTTTTACAATATCTTGAAAGGCGCTGATGGTCTCCAGCATTTTAAGATCAGGTCCGGTGGTATAAGCGCCGGTGCAGGATTGAACACAGGCGACCGTTTTGAAGTAAAGAATGCAAGTCCACGACCAGGGGATGCTCCGGAAATTTCGCTTGGAGGCGCACGTAGAAGACACAACTACTTCTCAGACGGGGACAGAATTAAGTCGAATGCAATCAGTGGTAAGTCATACTGATAACAGATTTTGTAATTGTGTGTTATTTCTTCACGTAGTGATCGAATTCTCCCATGTTTACACACATCCTGCTAATTATTTCTCTAAAAAAAATATGTCTTAATTTACTGACTCAGAATAGAGAGGTCCCTCTTATTAATTTGTTGAGTTTTATGAGTCACTCCCAGACCAGGAATATCCAGTTTGAAAAAAAAACAAAAACGAGATCATATAAGAGATGAACGGTCACATTTGTGTTAATCATACAGCATAAATATGGCCGCAGCCTTGAGTGAATAAGTGTGTAAAAAATATCAATAAACAGATCAAATTCACGGACTGCGCTTAACAAATCATTTCATTTTTAAGATATTGGAAGCTACTATCGGATGTTCATGCATTTTGACACATTTCATCATTTTTTTCGAATATTTTTAATTTTATCCTTCAAATTCAAAACATAGTGTTTTGTGTTTAGTGTTAAGCTTTTATTTCGGTTCGTTTCCTTGTTGCCTTCTCTTTTTTAAGTCTACCGGGTCTAGTTGAACAATATATTTTTTTTTTTAAGTCCGCTGGGTCAAGTTAACCAACTCTATCTTTTAGTTTCTGATAAACAGGTTTTCCTATACTTTTATTCCCCCCCCCCACTTTTTTTTTATTATAGACGTGAACATTTCTAAGAAAGCAGACATCAGACTCAGACTTCAGAGGGAGGACAAACGGAACAACCAACATTTTCTGAAAAGATCACTTCAAATCAACAACACCCTCAAGGCGAGTGAAACGGGTCTAAAAAGCGTCTCAGACACAGGTTTACCCTGCAATACAACAGTCAAGGGATCCGATACTATCGTCGACTGCACCAACCGGGGTCTTACTAGCATATCGTCTGAACAGTTCCCAGAAAACACGACAGTTCTCTATTTAGATCAAAATAACCTACAAGAGATACCAAGTTCTAGTTTTAGTCACTTGATGTCGCTACGTCATCTGAGCATATCCAACAATCAAATCAAGACACTAGAGACCGATTCATTTGGGGGACTTCAAAATTTGAGATACCTGGGACTAGAAATGAATGATCTAAAATATACGTATGAGAGTTTGCCTGAAAATATTTTCACGCCCCTCGAAAACCTCGAAGAGTTACGATTATTGCAGGACAAGCCATTTGAAAAAGGAGGATATCCTGATAATTTTCTGGGTTCTCTTCGGAGACTTCAAACATTAACTATCGATACCGTGGGGGACACGCTTAATTTCGGACATGAATTCACCAACTTAACCAGGCTACGTTCATTGACAATCACGGGAAATGCTCTTTACATCAATGCCAACAGCTTTGAGAATGTAGCCGCAATTAAAGAACTCAATGTGTTTTACTTGAGCCAAATTATCCACGTTAGCATAAACGCATTTCAACCGTTGGTAAATCTGGAGTCTTTGACTCTAAGTTACATGGAAATCGGTCTTAACAACACGCTGTCGCTTCTTCACCCGTTCGTGGGTAGAAATATGACAAAGATTTTACTGGATAAAATAGGTTTAAGCGTCAGCCAGCAGGACAAAACTATAATCTCCCACGACGGAAGCCTCACTGCACACAACACCAAGCATCTGATGGGCATCTGTGTCAAGAGTTTTACACTGATCGACAGCAACATTTATGTTGTAGAAAGCTCAGCGTTTGAGAATTCTACTCTTTGGGACTCGTGTTTAGAGAGTATAGATCTATCGTACAATCCACTGACAGGGAGCTTTCTCGCATTTGTTCGTATTTTGAGGTTTAAGAAGTTAATCACGTTTAACACTAATCAAAATTGTAGAGATTCAGATGGGTACAACACGGTGAATGATAATATTATCCATCTGCAAGTATCTCAAGATACTCTTTTCCCTGACCGACTCACCTCAAAAGGACAAGTGGTACCTCATACGTCAGACTTGTTGAACTTTGATTTACGTGAAAAGAAAGTGACACTAGACGGCAGAGAAGATGAGAACTACGATGTGGCCCTCCAAAGCATCGGGGTCATAACAAAACCAACTGAGAGCCTTCTAGGCACACACAAAACTATTACTGGGCCGAAGATCTCTGCTTACGTTACAAAGTCTTTAAAAGAAATTCACGGAAAGCGATTCATCACCTCAAGTCCACTTAATATTCATCTTCATATAGTAAATGGAGGAAATATAGAAATTGTTGACCTGTCAAACAGTGGATTTCACGAATTCACTGGCGTCATGGAGGGCTTAACTAATCTTAAAACATTACTAATCTCTGGTAACGATATGTCGCTGATTTCCGAGAACTTCTTCGACACTCTTTCCTCTCTTGAAACTTTGAAGATGGCAACTTGCAAGCTAGACAGGCATTTCATCGCCATGAAAAGCAAACGGTTGATCTCTGAGCTTGTTTGCCTGAAGAGCATGGATTTGTCTTACAACTACTTATATATTTTACCCAAAGATATATTTTACTACAATCGCAATCTGGAGGAGTTAGGGCTAGCTGGCAATAACTTCAAAGAGATTCCGTTCGACTTGACCACTACGCCTAATCTTACACGACTGGACCTCCGTTACAATTCTCTAACATCCTTGGATACCCAAACTACGCTAGAACTGGATGACCATGTCCAGCGTCTGGGCGAGTTTCAACTTAAACTTGAAGGCAACGTGCTCTCGTGTGGTTGTGACAGCATTGGGTTCCTACACTGGATGACGGTGACAAATGTTGAGTTCGATAACAACAAGAACTTCACGTGCATCAACAGCGCCGGGGACCTGTCCGACACGGCGCAGTACACGGACCTCGTCGAACTGTGGAGATTATGCTGGGGGAAATCTTTCCTGGCCGCGGCGGTGATCATCTTGTGCTTTATCGTGTCTGGATTTCTGGCAGTTTTCCTCTTCGTCAAGAACAAAACTCACATCATCTCCACCCTGCTGCAGTTTATTTGGGGCTTCGAGCTGAAGAAGCGCTCTGATTACGCGACGGGTGTGTACATCGGCTACTCTGACAGTGACTACAACTTTCCTTGCCACGTTCTCAGGGTCTATTTAGAAAATACTCTACAACTGAGCACGTACCTCGAGCATCGTGACCTACTTCCGTCAGCCGACAAGGCCAGCGCCATAATCGAAGCGATTCATGCCTGTTGGCGCGTCGTTCTGGTGGTCAACGGGAGATTTTTAAACGGAGACGAGTGGGCGCTGTTCACCATGAAGTCGGCCATTCATTCTCAGAGCCCTTCCAACCCCGCGCGCCTGGTGGTCATCGTGGAGGACGCCGTCCACCGATCTCTTCCCAACGAGCTGTTGAGCGTGGTTTCAGAGGAGAATATTTTTGTAGTTACCAGGTGGACGCTGGGCACGGAATTGAAAGATTGGCTGAAGTTAAGGTTGTATTTTTGATCATGCAGTTAGAAAAATGTGTGTGTTACACTGATTTTATCACAGGTTAAATTGTGAGACTATTCTGAATTATTTCTTGCTAATATTTTAAACCGTATTGAAGGAGCCCTAGTTGTCAGAAAATTCCTATAAAATCTATGTAAACCAAATAAAGATATTCCAACTGTTTCAGCATGTTTGTAGGTTAAGTAGATGAAATAGCTACATTTTAAGGACACTTCTTTAACTTTCCAAAGAATTCAAAATTAATACACATTTTAATTAATTTTTTTTTTATCTTCTTTTTAAATCAGCATTTTAGATCAGTGCCACCCCTGGGTATTTGGGGTAGCGTAGGAGGGAGTGAGTGTCAGATCAGTGCCTCCCGTGGGCAGTTGAGGTAGCGTAGGAGGGTGAGATTAGATCCGTGCCTCCCGCGGGTATTTGAGGTATCGTAGGAGGGTGGGAGTTTCAGATCAGTGCCTCCCGTGGGTATTTGAGGTAGCGTAGGAGGGTGGGATTAGATCCGTGCCTCCCGCGGGTATTTGAGGTAGCGTAGGAGGGTTGGATTAGATCCGTGCCTCCCGCGGGTATTTGAGGTAGCGTAGGAGGGTGGGAGTGTCAGTTTGAAACAATTTAATGAAACAGGAAATGAGAAACTTTATACTTTTTTACCAAATTTAAATTTTTGCTGACGCTACTGACAGTTACATAAGTCCTAATTAGCATAGTACGGTAATTGTTTCTAAATTCTAAATATTAATCTCTGGTATGACACTATTTCAGGTTTTTGATTTTCTGTTTTTTTTTTGTTTTTTTTAAATATTATTGTGTATTTCTTTCCTGTCTTGTTTTTGGTTTGAGGGGGGAGGGGTGGAAGCAACTCACTTCCTCTTATTAAAGCAGGGCCTTCTAGGGGCTGATTCAATCGAGTAAGCCCTCGGAACCCTTGAAGCATGGGCCGGGGGGGGGGTCACCAATGGCATGTGCGTGTGGTATTTTTTTCTTTTTTCGTTTATTTTTCTTTCTTCTTCTTTTAGTTTGTTTTTTTTAAATTTATTTTATTTAGTGGGTTTATTTAGTGGTTTTGTTTATATCATACGATGACGTTTGATACCATTACTTTGAAACAATCAGGGGCCAAAAATTTCCATCTGCGGGATACGCAAAAATCCTCCACAAGTCCCACGACTAAGAATTTTTTCAAAATGAAATCAGGTTATTTTCAAAATTGAAAACAGGGGCATTAATAATAGTTAAGCATAAACAAATTATTTGTGATGACACTGAAGCTCTTCTGTCGGAGAGACGTTCCTTTGAAAAGTAAATTATACTGATGCCAGTTTGGATTTATTTTATTTTTTTTCAGTTGTGCCAGCTAATCAATCAGTGGATATTACACGTACCGTTCTCGAACATCTAACCAAATTTCAATAAGGAGTTGTTGTTTTTTTATGCTGTCTTAAATTGTACAGATGAAAACTCACGATAGATCAAGACTAAGATCCGAAAACCAGTACGGTGCTGGTACGAGTAGTGCAAATGGTCACATTACACTTAAACACCAAGAAATTCCACCTTCCATTGCAAGATCAGATGACGCGCAAAACTAAATTTTGAATTAAGTTTAAATCACTTTACTTTTTACAAGGGTTGACATTTTGAACACAACTGAATATATATAAATGTATGTATAAGTTACATTTTTTTTTCAAAAGTGAGTCATTATATTTGATTACTTCCCCTGAATCATTCCTGTAAATATCATTCCTGAAGAATGTGCATATGTGTTTGAGTGAGAGCGACCTAAGCAACTTTTCTGGTATTTAGATAAGAATTTAAAAACTTAAAAACTAATTTTTCTCGAAACTGTAAGTTCCTTTTCTACTCGGCTGTTCATATCTATATATAAATGTATGTATATATATATATATATATATATATATATATATATATATATATATATGTATATGTATGTATATATATATATATATATATATATATATATATATATATATATGTGTGTGTGTGTATATGTATGTATGTATGTATGTATGCATGTATGTGTGTATGTATGTGTGTGTGTGAATATATATAAGTGCCACTGGGAATAGGATCAGGGCCTCACGCCTCTATGAAGCTTTGAGACTCAATCTTTTAGAGGCATCATGCTTTACATTTTGTTGATGAATATTGAATGATTTTGGCAATTTAATTTGATTTAAAAGTCAATGGGCAGTATGTTTCTTGATATTCACCCACAATATTATCGGCAAATTCCAAAATTAATATTATAAATGCGAATCTTAAAGGGGAATAACTCTCGTCAACACATTTACTTCTGCCAGATATGAATCGATAAATCAGATAAATCACATATTAATAAATATATGATGGCTTTTGTATAGATTTTCTTTCCAATTTTTTAATACCATTTAGAAACAGGTTTTTGTTTAAAATCATGTTTTAAATTGCCATACAAAATCTATGTACCTTTTCTACAAATCAGAATTTTTTCCTCATATTTTTGGAACTGTAAATTTTGGGGAAACCAACTTAAATTTTAAATTAAATCTAAAATGATCATTATTATACTAATATACTAAAAGATTGGTTGTGTTTTTTTAATCAACTGTTTTGAACGGAATTTAAAATAAAAAAAAATTCCTTTATTGATAAAGCAGTTTTTTGTTGTTTTTTTTTTAAATTATGAAAAGTTTTACTATTTGGATGCAACTAAAAATAAAAGGGAATTGTAGCGCAATCATCATCCAGAGAACCTAATTTTCAACTAGAATCTTTTCTGTTGCTCGCCGATTAAGTGTGGAATGATGCAAAACTAACTTGGTGCATGCGACAGAATTAATCAAATCATTTTGAATTTATCAAACAATTTTCTGGAGAGGGTCTTACTGTGACTTCTCTCTACAAACCTTAACCCCCCCTCCCCAACCACCTACCAATTTAGTTTCGTTCGACACCCTCGAACACATCTTCCTCCCCTATTCAGGTGACAGTACCGACATATTTAATCTTTAAAAAAATATTTTTAAATAAAAATTTAGGTGTGAGTAATTATCATGATTTTTTTTTAAAGGACAAACTTATGATTTTCTTTAAGTTTGGTAAGGTAGTTGGAATCTCAAGATTCTACGGACGAACCAAAGCTGGGGCTTAAAAAGCATCCCCTCAGGGGGCTCCACTATCAGAATGAATTTATGGTTATTTATGGCGGTGACAACGAAGTCAGAGCTGGCCCTGGGCCTCAAAATTTTCAATTTTGGTGCAGATGGCTGCCCTGCCAAACAACCCCCCCCCCTTCCCTAGATCGCCTGAATCACTACCTGACTCCCGCTCGTTAAATTACCTGGAAGAAAGTGGTAAAAATTTATGGGCCAACCGAGGCCATATTGCTTCTCATAACATTACTTGAACAGTAGGCTATAGGCAGATCCGCTCACAAGAAAAGTGGTGCCCCTGGCGCACGCGCATGAAGGCCTGGCCACCCCCCTGTCTATGTGAAGGACATGGGATGTTATCTTCTAATTCCGTATTAAGGGCCTATCTTAAGACGCTTTTTCCGCCCCTTGATATTGGCGGCAGGGGGTGATTGGCCCTCTCGCCCCCCTCGTTAGCACGACAAATAGTATAGAGTGAATTAGGGGTCTCAGTGCATTACTGTGCTCAGGGCCTCCCGTCGCTTTAAAGTTGACCCTGACATGTATATATATACGTTGACACGGAGTTGTGTCAATTAAACATATTGAAAATATCTGCACAAACTCTTTTTTTTTTTAAATATTACTTTATGTTGCTATTCGTATGATAATCAGAGCTTCTTTATCGTATTATTTTAAATTTATGTTGGTGCAAATGGCCTAATCTTTTTTTTTTTTTAAATATTTTTCTATTGCTCAAATATTCCATTTTCGTTCTAGGCACAAAAGATTGCTAATACATTTTTTTTAAATTGTCGTCATCCCAACTCAAGTTTACATTATACATGAAGAATATCGTCTCTCGGGGGCGGGCAAACAAACATGTAAGCCGATACACTTGTAATAGGCGTATGCTAATCATTACTTTTAACAGTGTGTGTGTGTGAGTGAGTGCGTGTGAGTGTGTGTGTGTGTGTGTTTTGGGGGGGGGGGGAGAGAGAATAGCAGCTGACTTATTAACTTGTATTATGGGCTACAAAACCACATGCTGTTCCCAGGATACAATTCCAGTTGTCGGACTATCTACATTTTTTAAAATATTTTTTTCCCCCTGGGGGATACATGATTACAGGAATGGATTTTGTGAACACAATTATATAAACGCCTTAATGGTAATCGGTGAATAACGGCTCTTAGTGACTATGACGTCAACCTTAGGTATAGCGTCAGCCCAAGGAAGGGTTGAGAGATCTTTAGTTTAAGCTGAAACACATTGGGGGGAGGAGGAGGGGGGGTTGATGCTAGGGGATCGAAAACTTTTTAAAAAGGACTACGCACCGAAAGGGTGTCAGAATTGTCAGTTTGATCGGGAGGAGGGGAGACATCGAGGGGGGGAGGGAGTTGGTTCGGGGTGGAGGCTAAGCCCCCTTCTGAATTTTTTCTGTTAAATTCAAAATGTGGGAACTTCATTTTTAATTATTCTTCACTCCAAGAGAGAGCCACAGAGGAGATAAAGCAACATAGAAGAGAGCCGCAGAAGAGATAGAGCCACATAAGATACAGCCACGTAAGAGAGAGACACAGAAAAAAAAGCCACACAATAGAGAGCCACAGAAGAGAGAGTCACGGAAGATAGAGAGAGAGAGAGAGAGTCACCGAAGAGAGAGCCATAGAGAGAGAGTCACAGAAGAGAGAGAGTCACAGAAGAGAGAGAGCAACAGAAGAGAGACGCCGAATGAGAGATGGTGTTTTAGATCATTTAGATCCCACCTGATCTTTACTCGTTCTTGTCATCAAAAGGTCATGCTGTTTTATTATCTTTGTGGTAACTATTTATTTGTTTAAAAGACTTAGGTTTTAATTGTTTTTTCTCTTTTTTTTTTTTCATTTGATCATTCAAAATAGAGATCCCGTGATTCTGCCCGTTGGATCTTGGCGTTGGATCTTGGCGTTGGATCTTGGCGTTGGATCTTGGCGTTGGATCTTGGCGTTGGATCTTGGCGTTGGATCTTGGCGTTGGACCTTGGCGTTGGATCTTGACGTGGGATCTTGGCGTTAGACCTTGGCGTTGGTTCTTGACGTTAGATCTTGGCGTAGGATCTTTGAGTTGAATCTTTGAGTTGAATCTTGGCGTTGGATCTTGACGTTGGATCTTGACGTTTGATCTTGACGTTGGATCTTGATGTTATTTCGCTCCACACGTGCAGTTGTTTCTACAGGCACACATTTGAACGATAAAGCCAGTGGCGTATCTTCATCCAATAGACTTACAGCGCCTTTATTTCTTATATAACCCCCCTCCCCCCAACCATTTTCTTTTGATCCATTAAGTAATGTACAAGGCGAGCATTTAGGACACGCACCACTTCATTCAAACCGCTTAATATCATCTCAGGTAGTCTTGACTTCCCCCC